CCCATGCCTAGTGAGCGACATGACGCAGGGCAGCCATTCAGCATGGGACCCGGATAACAGCAGCGATCGCTGTAATAGCGACAGCTACAGTGATTCTCCACTTCCACGGCAGACCCGCAGTTATGGAGTATGGATACTTACATTAGTTCAAGCTGGACCAATGTATCTAGACAATAAAATCCATACCTGGAGTTCACCTTTAAGGCAGAAGCAGTTAATGGGAATAAGAAAAAAAAACATCTTTTAAAAGAGTTTACTACAATGCAATCAATACAACAATTACGGCAATGCACGGAGTACGAAACCTGATCAAACTCTAATGATTTTCAGCAGTTTCTGGGGCAGCTGTATTGTATTTTGCTTCTATTTTAGTGCACAGAACACATCATGTCCAGGAGCTGAAATTACAGATTAGATTTTCATTGTTTATGTCTACTCTGCTTGATCGTAATGTGTAAATTATGGCCGTTTTCTAGATTCTTTTACAGAAGACTTTAAAGCACATCCCAATCAAGTATGAACATTCTTTATGTAACGTAACCCAGAGCTGCCTGCTTAGTGTCCCCCTGCTGCTCCACATCTGCATCTCGCTGACACGCTATATCCCAATAGCTGACCTTCTTCTGATTTACCAAATGATTCTCCAAAAAAATGTGAGTTTCTAGTTTCCAAACAAACCATTATCAAGGCTGACTAAAGTAGATGTACAGTGAGGAAAATTATTTGATCCCCTGCAGATGTTGTAAGTTTGCCCACTTACAAAGAAATGAAGGGTCTAAATTTTTATCATAGGTGTATTTTAAATGATAGAGAAAGATTGTCAACCAAAAATCCAGAAAAAAACACATAATACAATGTTATAAATTGAGTTGTACTTCAGTGAGTAAAATAAGTATTTGATCCCCTACCAACCAATAATTCTGGCTCCCACAGACTGGCTATGTGCTCATGTGGTACACAGATTAGTCCGGTCATTTTATGAAGGTGCTCCTAATGACAACTCGTTATGTGTATAAAAGAAACTTGTCCACAGAATCTCTTTCTTGGTCACCAAGACGAAAGCGCTGTCAAAGAACATCAGGGACAATGTTGTAGACCTGCACAAGGCTGGAATTAACTACAAGACCATCAGTAAGACGCTTGGGGAGAAGGAGACAACTGTTGGAGCGATTTATTCGCAAATGGAAAAAATACAAAAAAAAAACATCAATTGCACTCAGTCTGGAGCTCCATGCAAGCTTTCACCTCATGGGGTAGGGATAATCATGAGAAAAGTGAGGGATCAGCCCAAACTACACGGGAGAAGCTTGTGAAAGATCTCAAGGCAGTTGGGACCACAGTCACCAAATAAACCATTGGTATCACAATACGCCGCCATGGATTGAAATCCTGCAACGCCCAGCAAGGTCTCCTTCCTCAAGAAGGCACATGTACAGGCCTGTCTGAAGTTTGCCAATGAACATCTAAATCAGTAGTTCTCAACCTGGGGGTCGAACGACCCTTTCACAGGGGTCCCCTAAGACCATCAGAAAACACATATTTCCGATGTGTAAAGATACTGTGTAAAAGCAGCTACTGTGTTGAAAGCAGCAGTATTGGAGGTAAAACGACACTCATGAATTATAATTACTGGGTAAATAATTTTATGGTTGGGGGTCACCACAACATGAGGAACTGTATTAAAGGGTCACGGCATTAGGAAGGTTGAGAACCACTGATCTAAATGATTCAGAGAAGGACTGGGAGAAAGTTCTGTGGTCCAATGAGACCAAAATTGTGCTCTTTGGCAATAACTTGACTCGCTGTGTTTGCAGGAAGAAAAATGCTGACTATGACCCGGAGAACACCATCCCTACAGTCAAGCATGGAGGGGGAAACATTATGCTTTGGGGATGTTCCTCTGCTAAAAGTACGGGCCGACTATGCTGCATTGAGGGGCCATGTATTGTAAAATCTTGGAAGAGAACCTAAGACTAAGAACTGTCAATTCAAGTGACACTCTATAGTGTTTTCCTTCAGCTCCTCCCCTGGAAGCTACACAAAATGTAATGTTGGGAGGGGAGAGACGAAGGAGCTAGGCCAGCACAGACAGTTACTAGACACTCCAAGAGGACAGGGTTATCACATTCGAAGAGGGAGAGGTCTGTGCTAGAGAACTGACTCTTCCTGGATTAGTCAAATCATCTACCAGTTCAGAATCACATTGCAAGTAAATACAAAATCATATATGGAAAGAAAAACAATTGAGGCGTTGAAGTGTTACTAAACCCACAACAGTAACATCAGTCTGTATATTATTATTATTATTATTATTACAGTATTTATATAGCACCAAAAGGTTTGCTCTGCGCTGTACAATATAGTGGGGGACAGAACATGAGACAATACAGTAACAAAACAATACATGAGGGGTTTCGAGGGCCCTGCTCTTTCGAGCTTACAATCTAGGAGGGAGGGGATAGTGGTACAGGAAGAAGTGGCTGTGGGGATGGAGTGGTAGGAGGAGTGGAGGAGATCGGCCGTTAGGTGAGGGGGGGTAGGCTTCCCTGAAGAGATGGGTTTTCAGGGTGCGCGTAAAGGTGAGGAGGGTAGGTGACAGTCTGATGGATTGGGGTAGTGAGTTCCAGAGGATGGCGGAAGTCCTGGAGAAGTCCTGCAGTCGGGCGTGGGAGGTGGAGACCAGGGAACTGGAAAGTAGGAGGTCTTGTGAGGAGTGAAGAGTACAGGTAGGGTGGTATTTGGGTATCAGGTCGGTGAGGTAGTTTGGGGCAGCGTTATGAATGGCTTTGTATGTCAATGTTAGTAGTTTGAATTTGAGCCGTTGGGCAATCGGGAGCCAGTGGAGGGATTGGCAGAGGGGGGGGTGGCAGATACGGAGCGGTTGGTAAGGTGGATGAGTCTGGCGGCTGAGTTCAGGATAGACTGAAGCGGGGATAGTCTGTGATGAGGCAGGCCGGTGAGAAAGGAGTTGCAGTAGTTCAGACGTGAAATAATGAGGGAGTGAATGAGTTGTTTAGTAGTGTCTGGGGTTAGGAACGTACGTATTTTGGAGATGTTGCGGAGGTGAAGTCTACATGAGTCTACATGAGTGTCAGTGATTGGACCTGTACCATGTTTACACGCGTTTTTTTCCGTATTTATCGGTTTTCTGCTGCCCGGAGAGTTTAACAATTACCGTATATACTCGAGTATAAGCCGACCCGAATATAAGCCGAGGTACCTAATTTTACCACAAAAAACTGAGAAAAACTATTGACTCGAGTATAAGCCGAGGGTGGGAACACCAGTGGGAAGAATCGTGCCTCATCATTGGTGTCAGTGGGAGGAATAGTGCCCCATCATTGGTGTCAGTGGGAAGAATCGTGCCTCATCATTGGTGTCAGTGGGAGGAATAGTGCCCCATCATTGGTGTCAGTGGGAGGAATAGTGCCCCATCATTGGTGTCAGTGGGAGGAATAGTGCCCCATCATTGGTGGCAGTGGGAGGAATAGTGCTCCATTATTGGTGTCAGTGGGAGGAATAGTGCCCCATCATTGGTGTCAGTGGGCGGAATAGTGCCCCATCATTGGTGTCAGAGGGAGGAATAGCGCCCCATCATTGGTGTCAGAGGGAGGAATAGCGCCCCATCATTGGTATCAGTGGCAGGAATAGTGCCCCATCATTAGTATCAGTGGGGGAATAGCACCCCATTATTGGTGTCAGTGGAATAGTGCCCCATCTTTGGTGTCAGTGGGAGGAATAGTGTCCCATCATTGGTGTCAGTGGGAGGAATAGTATCCCATCATTGGTGTCAGTGGGAGGAATAGTATCCCATCATTGGTGTCAGTGGGGGGGTGGAGGAATAGTGCCCCATCGTTGGTGTCAGTGGGGGGGGAGGAAAAGTGCCCCATCGTTGGTGTCAGTGGGGGGGGGGGGGGGAGGAATAGTATCCCATGATTGGTGTCAGTGGGGGGTGGAATAGTGCTCCATGATTGGTGTCAGTGGGGGGTGGAATAGTGCCCAATCGTTGGTGTCAGTGGGGGGGGGAATAGTGCCCAATCGTTGGTGTCAGTGGGGGGGGGGGAGGAAAAGTGCCCCAATCGTTGGTGTCAGTGGGAGGAATAATGCCCCATCATTGGTATCAGTGACACCAATGATGGGGCACTATTCCTCCCACTGACACTTGCTGACCCCTGTTCCAGTATGGTGCTGCTGCAGCCAGCATATGTGGTTGCAGCAGCACCTAAGCACGGCACACTTACCTGCATCTCCTTCACTCGATTTCGCGGGGCCGCTCAGCTCCGCCTCCTCGCCGGTGATTGGCCGCCTGTGTGCCTTTCCTGAGCTACAGTTCTGGCGGCCAATCACCGGTGAGAAGGCGGAAGCCGAGCAGCCGCGCGCGAACATCCAGTGGACGAACCGAATGAAGGAGCAGCCGCGCTTCCTGGACCGGATCGTCGTGGGACCGGAGCCAGGTAAGAGACAGCAGCCCCCTGCCCACCCCTGTACTGAGTGTCCCTTCTGTTGGAAGGGGGGGGGAGCCATCTGCAGACGTTGACTCGAGTATAAGCCGAGGGGGCCGTTTTTCAGCACAAAAAATGTGCTGAAAAACTCGGCTTATACTCGAGTATATACGGTAGGTGGAGCCTGCATGAGTTTGCCAACGATTGGACATGGGGTTGGAAGGACAGGTTTGAGTCTAGAGTGACACCTAGGACTTTGGCTTGCGAGGTGGGACTGATGGTGGCGTTGTTGGTCATCATGGAGGGGGGGGGGGGGGCGCGGGCTGGGGGGGGGGCGGGGGGGGGGTGCCGCGGGAGGCGAGGGCGTCGAAGCCCGTGTGGTGTTGGCGCGCAGGGGGAAGATTAGGAGCTCAGTTTTGGAAAGGTTCAGTATATGCAGTAAAGCATGCTTGTTATACTCATTGTGGAACCTAAGGGGTTAATCCTCCATATTGTGTAAAAAGGATGCTAGATCCTGACTTTTCTGATCCACCCCTTCTTCCAGTGTCCCCCCCCCCCCCTCTTATCTCCTTATAAGATATATCGTATGGAGCCACTCTGCACATTCTCAGCTTGGTGTGTATTGCTGGAGGGGGTTTTTTTTTTTTTTTTTCCCTTGGCAGAGTGCATGTGATCAGCAAAGGGACAATCAGCACTGTCCAGACAGAGGTCAGGGGTTGTGCATATTCCTAGAGCAGAATGAAAACTCCTCCTACAATCTTTAACATGTGCTCGGCTGGACACTGATAGAAGTCACAAGACTGCTCTAACTGCTGATGATAAAAAGGTATTTAGCAGTTTATATTTACTAAAATAATTGCACTTCCAATTAATCCAGGGTCCTGGGTTTAGTAACACTAAGCATTACAATGCTTGATGTTTCTGCGCTTTTACCAGCATTTTTTTTTTTTTAATTGCTGACAGGGTCTCGTTTACAAAAGAAACCTTGCTTTAATGTTTTTCCAAGCTGACTAAAGCCACTATATTTTTGTTTTTACGCTCGAGTATCTCTTTAACCCTCACAATTTCATCTGTTCCCCTGTGCGTCACACACAGTAAAATCCCCGACTGGAAGAAGCACGAAAAGTAGCTGCTTTACCTACTGGCCTTCTGTATTCTGTGAAAACGCAATCTGCCAGCATTGCACAAGAAACAATCAGACACATCAGCTGTCGGCTGAGCTCCTACCAAGACCCAGGGGACAGAAGTGGTGTAGAATATTAAAGCAGAACTTCTCTCTCTCAATCAACATTGACTATTTTTAATCCTTATGCTGCTAGAATTACTAAATAGATGGGAAGGTATATTTTATTTACTTGTTTTCATTTTCTATTTTACATCCTGGTTTCTGGCCTGTTCTATGCTCCCAATCACATGACCAATGTGACCGCCAATCAGAGTGGTCACATGATTAGACCACCAGAGGGTCAGCGGTCATGCAGTCTCACAGGACTGTCAGTGCAGAATGAAAATTCCTATGAGATTAACCTGTGCTCAGCTGAACACTGATAGAAGTCACAAGTCTGCTATATACTGCTGATGAGAGAAGATATTTAGCAGTTTATATTAAAATAATTACATTTCCATGTTCTGTGTACTGTGGGAGACCAGATATAGTGAATGCAGGGTCCGGGGAGACCAGATATAGTAAATTCAGGGTCCGGGGAGACCAGATATAGTGAATGCAGGGTCCGGGGAGACCAGATATAGTGAATGCAGGGTCCGGGGAGACCAGATATAGTGAATGCAGGGTCCGGGGAGACCAGATATAGTAACCAGATTAGTGAATGCAGGGTCCGGGGAGACCAGATATAGTGAATGCAGGGTCCTGGGAGACCAGATATAGTGAATGCAGGGTCCGGGGAGACCAGATATAGTAAATTCAGGGTCCGGGGAGAGGGTCCGGGGAGACCAGATATAGTAAATTCAGGGTCCGGGGAGACCAGATATAGTGAGACCAGATATAGCAGGGTCCTGGGAGACCAGATATAGTGAATGCAGGGTCCGGGGAGACCAGATATAGTAAATTCCTTGCTACTGTACAGTGCTGAGCATACCCTTTGGCGCTATATAAATACTGTATAATAATAAGAAGAAGAAGGCAGCCATACTATACTAACCCCAAAGGCCTGGTCACCAGGGCACCTGAGAAAACCTACAGCTTGAGGATAACTTTTTAAAACGTTTCTGTGTTTGTAAATGGAAATGCATCTTCTGTTTGTGACTTAAAGCACAAGTTCACCTTTTATAACATGTTAAACCCGTATTCAGGGTATAACATGCAACACGTTACTGCTGCAGCTGCCCAAGTTCCTGCTGTACACCACAACTAATATTTTAGAATTTTATTTTGTGGTGTACTATCCTTGGGTTCTAAGGATTAGATAGCTGCCATCCCCCCCCCTTTTGGATTTTACATTCACATCTATATTTGTCCAGTGGCGCTGTCCATTAGTAAGAAATACAAGTTTTTCCTGTGATAGCAAACCGGGGATCTTCTCCCAAAGTCTGCTGCCACAATTTAATAAAAGATGTGCCCATCCAGCTGCGTCACTCATTTACAGTATTCTGTGAATGAGAAACTACAACTACCGACAGCCTTTGCAGCTGTCAGGTGGTAGTTCTCGATGAAACTACCGCGGCGCTGTGGTAGTTCATTGAGGCTTCCTGTCAGTGTGTAACTGACTGCTTTTAAGAGGTACATGCGGAGAGCTTACACACAGTCTGCAAGAGCCCTGCATAGCACCCACGATCTGCTGATCACAAGTGCAATGCCTTACAGGCTCCAAAAAAATAATTCATGCATTTTTTTTCCTGCTAAAAGATGTGCACTTTACCCCCTTCCTGTCCAGGCCAATTTTCAGCTTTCAGCGCTATCACACTTTGAATGACAATTGCGCGGTCATGCAACACTGTACCCATATGAATTTTTTAGCATTTTTTTTTAGACAGATAAAGCTTTATTTTGGTGGTATTTATTCACAACTGGGATTTTAATTTTTTTTTTGCTATGTAAATGAAAAAGTCCAAAAATTTTGAAAAAAAGTGTTTTTCTTATAAAATTTTGCAAATAAATAGTATTTCATCATAAATCTTGGCCAAAATGTATTCCATTATCTTTTTAGTAAAAAAAAAAAAACAAATTAGTTTATAACCAAAAATTATAATTTTTAAACTTTTTTTTACATTTTTTTTTTTTTTTACACTGTCACCCTAGCAGTATAGTGTCACCACTGGGGGGTGATGAAGATTTTTTTCCCGAGTCATCTTCTAGGACAGCTCACTTGAGAGATAGGCTCCTCCCAGGAAACACCCGCTCCACCTTTTTCCTCTATAAGTAGCCTCTCTCCCAGGGGACCCTCAGTATTAGTGTTTCCTCAGGCCAGGAGTGAGCTACGCCCGTTTTGTTATTTTTCTAGGGCCACCTGGCGAGGTACAGAGGCCCCCTGGCTGAGGCCCCCCTTTCCTCCTTTTCTAAGCAAGGCAGGGGCCTTGTGAGGGGGCTTCAGTCAGGTCCCCTTCGTGTAAACCCCTCTGGGGTGGGGGTGACAGACCCCAAATGGTCCTAGCGGGGCTCTCCAGGGGGCAGAGCCCGCTACGCCGACCTGGGCAGGATTGCCTTTCCCTTGGGCTGAGGTGAGCTTACCTTTTCCGGGATCTCTGCAGCATGGACGGTGGTCGGAGGGAGGACGCCGGATTCGCGTCTTTTCCGGGCGCCGGGAAGTGACGTCACTTCCGGCGCAGGAACAGGAAGCGGCGCTGCCGCCATGTGGGCTATGGGCGGCGGGCCGTAGAACTCGCCCACACCACGGCCGCTTCTTCCACCGGCGGCCGTGAGAGGGAGGCCGGCGCATGAGGACCCCAGGGAGAGGGCGGAGCCCGCTAAGCCCTGCAAAACAGCCGCACCAAGGGGGAGTTCGCGGCAAGGATGGAGGCAGATCCGTCAAGGCTGGGGGAGGCCGGCAGCAGGTAAGGGCCTTTTTGGCTGCCACAACCACCCCGCCCGCCCTCTCATTCCCCCCTGCCCTTCTTCCCTACACTACCTAGGGGCTTTCTGGGTGCTGGGGGGCCACGTAGGGGCCCCAAGGGGGCTGCACGGCGGATGGGCGCCCTATGTTCCTCATCCCCAGGTGGGCCCACAGGGGGGTGGCACAGAGGCTTGGTGGTTAGCATGTCTGCCTTGCAGTGAATGGGTTGTGGGTTTGATTCCCGACTATGACACCTCCTGCATGCTTTGCATGGTTTGCATGCTCTCCCTGTACATGCATTGATTTCTAAGAGTCCGGGTCCCGCCCAGGACAAAGCCCCAACCAGGCACCTCAGGGAGATGACCTGGAGGAGGAACAACCGGATCTCTCCCTCCATGACCAGCTGTATGCAGGTCTAAAAAAAAAAAAAAAAAAAAAAAAAAAAAAAAAAGGGGAAGAGCGGCCACGCAGTCCATGCGTATTCTACTTTATGGTCCTCCATCAGAAGGGAATGGGAAGAGCCGGAAAAGGAGGCTCTTTCCCAAATACCTCAAGTGGAGATTCCCATTCAAGGAAGAAGATGCTGCACCGTGGGGACAGCATTCCGTGTGGCTCAGAGAGAAGCAACTTAGTCTATCACTGCAAAAAGGCCCAGGTTCAAACCCAGGCTCAGGCACAAAATCTACTCTTAACTTGCCCAAGGCCAGATGCTCCTCTTTCTAGAACAAGGCGCCTTGGCGGGAGAGATCCAGGAGTCGCTGCCGGTCTTAGGGGAAACTGTGGCTTTCACTGCAGACGCATCGATGGAAGCTATTTGATTTACAAGCAAAAGTCTACTGCGCTTGTAAATTCCGCCAGAAGAGCTATCTGGTTAGAATCTTGGCAGGGGGATCTTGCCTCTAAATACGACACAAAAGGAGACTAGGCACAGGCTGGGGATCAAGGATTAGTCAAGGGGAATGGAAGACTTCCTCTTCAACCCCAACCAGGATAGATCCAGGAACCGGTCCAAGTGACCGGAGGAGCCAAGTGGGAGGAAGGCTGGGACACTTCCACATACAGTGGCTAAAAATCACTCGGAACACTTTATCTTAGATGCATTCCGAATGGCTACAGAATAGAGTTCTCAAGACCCCCCCCCCCCCCCTCAAAGGTTCTTCGCAACACCCCTGCCAAGGGACAGGGGAAAAGCGGACATGTTAGTAGACCTCCTGGATGGGATGCTCGGGCAGAATGTAATTTGCCAGCTGGAGGAGGAAGAGAGGGGGAGTGGTTTTCTACTCCCATTTCTTCCTTAGAAGGAAGGCGTTGGGAACCTGCGGAATGATACTCAACCTGAAAAAGGGGAACGAGTTCGTGGGACCAAAAAAAAAAAAAAAAAAAAAAAAAAAAAAAAAAAAAAAAGTTTTGCAAGGAGACCATACACACAGTGAACAGAACTACTGCCACCAGGGCGTATTGATGGCTTAGATGGATTTGAAGGACACATATCTGCAGGTCCCGATAAGGGAGGAATCAGAGAAGTTTCTCAGGGTTGCGCTGGAAGGCGCAGGGGCAACAATTCTATTTCAGTTCAACGGAGGCAGCATGCAGGGGCGTGCATCTGTAATCCCAGCTCCTTTGGTGGCAGAGACTCTCAGACTGTTTGAGTCCAGGAGTTCTGGTCTCTCCTGAGCCATAGTGGTTGGCGCGTCTGCCTTGCGGTGTATGGGTTGTGGGTTCGGTCCCCGACCGTGGCGCCCCCTGCATGGAGTTTGAGTGTTCGCCCGCGCTTGCAGGGGTTTCCTCTGGGTACTCCCATTTTCATGCACTCCCCTCCGGTCTGTCATCGGCTCCAAGGATATTCACCAATGTCCGAGCAGAACCGCTATTTTTATTTGCAAATACAGAGAGGGGTGTGGAATCCCACGTACGGTGCACAAATTCCTTCCCAGAGTACTTGGGATGGCTAATCAATAGGGGGGGGGAATATCCCAGCTAATACCTCCCAGAAGGATCACATATCTGAGGTATGCCCTGGATTCCAAGAATACCTGCTTATACCTAACGGGGGATGGCGACCTGCACGGATGGGCAGCACAGTGGCTAAATGGTTAGCACTTCCGCCTGACAGTACTCGGGTCGTTGGTTCAATCCCAGCCACAGCACCACCCCCTGGAGTTTGCATGTTCTCCCTGTGACTGCGTGGGTTTCCTCCCACACTCCGAAGACATGCTGGTAGGTTAATTGGCCCTAGTATGCCAGTGCTGCAATGAGGTTAGTGGGGCGCATGACAGCTGCCATACCCGGAGTGCAATGGGCACAGTTTCACTCCAGAATACTGCAGGACCATGTCCTCTCCCACTGGGATGGCAGCCAAGCAGCCTTAGATTCCAGGATCCGCCTCACACGCATGAGGAATTCGCTAAGGGGGGGGGGGGGAGAGACATCCACACCTTAGAGGCTGGGAGAAAATGGCTGCAGGTCAGCCCGGAAAGAATCACCACAGATGTGAGTATGTCTGAGTGGGGTGCTCACATGGAAGACCGCCTGGCCCAGGGCAGGTGGGACGCGGAAATCTCGGACAGATCATCAAACTACAAGGAATTGTTGGCTTTCCAGGGTACGAGAGGGGAAGGAAGTTCAGATCTTATCCGACAACGCAACGGTTGTCACGTACTTAAACAGATAGGGGGGGCACGAGAGCCCCGAGACTGATGGATCTGGCAGAAACCCTCCTGAGCTGGGCAGAGACAAACCTAGAGTCCATCATAGCAGCGCATCTGAAAGGATATCTCAAACAGTTGGCGGACCAAATGAGCCGGAGAGAGGTCACTCAGACAGAGTGGTGCCTCAGCCGTACAGCATTCAATCAAACCTGCGCCAGATGGGGCACTCCCTCCGCGGATCTCTTCACCAACAGCCAAAATACAAAACTGGGGAGGTACTGCAGCCTGCAGAAGGACCCCAGGAGTGCAGGGAGAGATGCATTAGCCCCGCATTGGGAGGGAGACCTTCTCTATGGGTTTCCTCCGTTCAGACTGTTGCCGGAAGTGATGCAGAAGATTCAGTCATCCCAAGCC